CCTTTTCTTTAATTGTTGTATCCGGACTTAGGTTCCGTGGAGTTAGTTGTTGTGTGTGTTTTTGTCACGCCCCAAAATTTGAAAAATTAAATATTAAATTAGGACTAAACCCTAATAACATTTCATCATCCAAATCTTAGGGGTGAATCAAAAACTAAATGCAAATCAAACCATCCACCATAACTTCATAACTAACCAATACCTCCACATCAAGGTAACAAAGTGCCTGTTTGGCAGAGCTTAATTACAGCTTATTTCACCTTTTAGCTTAATTTAAGTTATTTTGATGTGTTTAGTTTACCTTGTAACTTATAGCTTATAACTTTTTGGAAGTCAGAAATCAGCTTATTCTTTGAGTGGGGCAGGAGATGCTTTAAGAATAAGCTGAAAATCAGCTTAAGTTGAAAGTTATAAACTATAAGCTGCTGAGGCATAAGCTATAAGCACTTTCCCACAGCTCTACCAAACAGGACCAATAAATAGTCCAAACAACTTAAATAAAATACGGTTACAAACCATGCCAAATTGTTCCAATACTAAAGTCATAAAAACAAATAATAAATACATAAACGATTATCCACCCTAAGCTCAAGAAAACATGAGAAATCCCAATAACAAGTCCAACAACTAAAGTAATTCCACGTCACCACCGTAGCCTCAACTAATCCTGCAAAGGAAGCTCGGCTGCGCTCAAACAGAACGCACCCGAGTTGCCAAGAGACAAAACGGGTCAGTATACAGGTATACTAGTATGAGTACAAGAATTGATACCCACGTGCCCACCAGACAAACAAAAATACATTTAATTCTTGTTACGGGACAAGGCAAGTAGTTCCAACCGCACCGAGACAAATGGGTAGTTTCTCAAGATACAGTGGCATTTAGTTTCTTTCCCGTACACAACAAAATATAAATTGATTATAAAATAGACAAAATAGAAATAAAAATATGGTGGGTCAGCCCTGCATGAAAAGTTAGTAAGACCCACCATCCTGCAAAATAAAGTTAGTATAATTTAACCATAAACAATTTGTTAAAGAAGTATAAAAATGCACCAATTCATGTTTAGGTAATTCGAATTGATCAAAACTCAAAGGACGAAAGTTGTACAGAATTAAATTTCCTAAAAAAAACAACCTCGAAACTCTGCATTGCCAAAATATATCAAAACTACAATAATCAAGATCTTCCGATTATAAATTCTAAACAATTTAAAAAAAAAACATTGTCTAGAATCTCGTGTACATGCCTCTGCTCAAATTTCATAATGTACCGAAGTCACTGACTATTTTTCAGGATCTACAAAACAACACAATTCACACTATACCAATAACCTCGTTATTAAATTCTTTGTACCTTAACTCCACCACTTCGGCTCTCCCCTTCTGGCCTACACATATATCCCATGTGCCTCCCGTATACCTAACACCGCTCCGAAGCCAAACTTGCACGGGGATATCGTCCCGAGTTTGACTCACACTCCCCGGATGGTTAGCATATACGTACGCGCATAAATCAAAGCACTCGTCTACTCATGAGAACGAGGCAACAACATATATATACACAACATCTCACACATGAGAATAAACATAACAATGCCGAGCCTAAGGCATTCAAATAAATCTCATAATCCTCACTTTTTTTTATACACTCTTCCTCACCATCACTCAAATAAAACAACAATCCATGGAGTCATGGTGGAGTATAAGGAATTTATCTATGGAT